AATAGTGAGAGCTTGATTTCTTCCTTTCCTACCTGAATGCCCTTAATATCTTTTTCCTGCCTAATCGCTATTGCAAGTACTTCCAGTACTATATTGAACAGCAGTGGAGAGAGTGGGCATCCCTGTCTCGTCCCTGATCTTAGAGGGAAGGCTCTCAGTTTTTCCCCATTGAGGATGATGCTTGCTGTAGGCTTGTGGTAGATGGCTTTAATTATGTTGAGGAAGGTCCCCTCTATACCCATTTTGGCTAGGGTTTTCATCATAAAGGGGTGCTGGATCTTATCAAATGCTTTCTCTGCATCTATTGATATGATCATATGCTTTTTATCTTTTCTTTTGTTGATATGGTGGATTATGTTGATTGATTTCCGAATGTTGAACCATCCTTGCATCCCTGGGATGAATCCTACTTGGTCATGGTGTATGATCTTTTTGATGAGTAGTTGGATTCTATTTGCTAGTAGTTTGTTGAGGATCTTTGCATCTGTGTTCATCAGGGATATCGGCCTGTAATTCTCTTTCTTTGTGGTATCTCTGTCTGCTTTTGGTATCAGTGTGATATTTGCTTCGTAGAAACTGTTTGGAAGTGTTTTTGATATTTCAATTTCGTGGAAAAGCTTAAAGAGTATTGGGAGTAAGTCCTCTTTAAAGATTTGGAAGAATTCACTAGTGAATCCATCCGGGCCAGGACTTTTGTGCTTGGGGAGACTTTTTATTACCATTTCAATTTCCTTGATGGTGATAGGTCTGTTCAGGTATTCCAGGTCTTCTTGGTTCAGCCTTGGGAGTCTGTAGGAGTCTAGGAATTTATCCATTTCCTCGAGGTTTTGATGTTCCGTGGCATAAAGCTTCTCAAAGTACTCCCTGAGGATCCTCTGAATTTCTGTGGTTTCTGTTGTAATGACCCCCTTTTCATTTCTGATTCGGTTTATTAGGGTTTTCTCTCTCCCTTTCTTTGTGAGTTTTGCTAGAGGCTTATCGATCTTGTTAATTTTCTCAAAGAACCAGCTCTTGGTTTCATTGATCTTTCGGATTGTTTTTTGGGTTTCCATCTCGTTAATCTCTGCTCTGAGTTTTATTATTTCCTTTCTCCTGTTCGGGTTGTGCTCCTTTTTTTGGACCTTCTCCAAGCTCTTAAGCTGTGACGTTAGGTTACTTATGTGTGCTCGCTCCTCCTTCCTGAGGAATGCTTGTAGAGCTATAAACTTTCCTCTTAACACAGCCTTTGCTGTGTCCCATAAGTTTTGGTAACTCGTGTTCTCATTTTCATTCGTTTCTAGGAATCTTTTGATTTCCTTTTTGATTTCCTGTCTAATCCACTCGTTGTTCAATAGTGCACTGTTTAATTTCCAGGTGTTTGATTTAGTTTTCTGTTTTTGTGTGTGATTTACTTCTAATTTCAGCGCATTATGGTCTGAGAAGATTGTTGATACAATCTCTACCTTCTTAATTTTATGGAGGCATGTTTTGTGGCTCAGCATGTGGTCTATCTTGGAGAATGTTCCATGTACGCTTGAGAAGAATGTGTATTCAGCTTTTTGTGGATGAAGTGTCCTGTATATATCTACTAAGTCCCTTTCTTCCATTGTTTCCCTCAAATGAAGTATGTCCTTGCTAAGCTTGAGTCTGGTTGATCTATCAAGAGGTGACAAAGCAGTGTTGAAGTCTCCCACTAGTATTGTGTTGCTATTGATGTCTTTTTCCAAATCTATGAGTAGTTGTTTTAAGTACTTTGCTGGTCTCTCATTAGGTGCATATACATTTATTATTGTAAGTTCTTCCTGTTGTACAGATCCTCTGATCAATAAGTAATGGCCTTCACTGTCTCTTATGACCTTCCTCACTCTGAAATCAATGTGGTCTGATATAAGGATGGCTACCCCAGCTTTTTTATGGGAGCTGTTTGCCTGTAGGATTGTTTTCCAGCCTTTGACTCTGAGTCTGTGTTTGCTTTGACTATTGAGATGCGTTTCTTGCAGGCAGCAGAATGTTGGGTTCAATTTTCTAATCCATCCTGCCACTCTATGTCTTTTAATTGGTGCGTTTAGCCCATTGACATTGAGAGAGATTATTGTTATGGGATTTTGTCCCATTGTTATGTTAAAATTGGGTGTATTTGAGGGGCCTTTCTTGCCTTAAAGTAGCCCATTTAGTTGTTCTTGTAACCATGGTTTTGAGTCTATGAAGTTCCTGAGCTGTTGTTTGTCTGTGAAACTGTGTGTTGTTCCTTCTATTATGAATGAGAGTCTTGCTGGGAAAAGTATTTTGGGGGAGGCATTTATTTCATTGAGTTTTTTTACTATGTCCCACCACTGTTTTCGGGCCATGAGGGTTTCATCAGAAAAATCAGCTGTGAATTTTAAGGAGGCTCCTTTGTAAGAGATTTCTTTCTTCGATCTTGCTGCTTTCAGAATTTTGTCTCTGTCTAAGGTTTTGGTCATTTTGATCAGAATGTGTCTTGGGGTATTTTTATTCGGATTTCTTCTAGCTGGTACCCTTCGGGCCTCCTGAATGTGGTCACAAGTTTTCTTCAGCTCTGGAAATGTTGTAGCAATGATGTCTTTGACAGTTTCTTCTTCATCGAGGTTTTCTTCCTGTCCCTCTGGGACTCCAATAATTCTTATGTTACCCCTCTTGGCTTCATCACGATCTTCTCTTGCCATCTGTTCCCGAATTGTGAGTCTCTTTTCCATTTTCTGCTCTTTTCGGGAGAGTCTCTGAACTTCATCTTCGAGCTCACTGATTCTGTTCTCAGCCGCTGTTACTCTGCTGCTGAGGCCTTCCACTGAGCTTTTCAATTCGCCTACGAGATTTTTCAGGTCTGACATTTCTGATTGCATTTTCCTCATTTCTGCCTTCAGATCCTCTTGTCTTCTATTGGCATTGGTTTCCATTGTTTCTTTTAATTCCCTAAGCATCCTAAGTAGCTCCCTTCTGAATTCCTTGTCAGAGAGGTTGTCTAACACTACAGTACTGTTGGTGTCATCTGGGCTAGACTCTTCAATATGAATGTTTGGTGGGCTTTTGCGTTGCTTTACCATTGTGAGAGGTGTGGTTTAGTCCTTCACGTTCAGTGTTACTATTCTGCTTGATATGCAGTGTGAGTTAAGATAGGCTTATGAGTTATTGGCAACTGTATTTCTAGTGGCTGAGCTAAAATAGAGAAGTTTCCATCTAAGAAGTTAGCTTATGGTTCCTATGGCATATGTAGTGGGAAAATATTTCGCGGCCGCGTTAGCGGCCGCGGCTCCGGAAAGAGTCCCTGGCACTGGGCGAGGAGTTGGGAATGTCTCCTGTTTGGAATTGGAGCCGTTCAGCTTTGTTGCCCAGAGCTGGGCCTCTGTGCCCGTCCCACGCGGCTCAGGGGTTGAAAACCGGCTGTCTCGGGGCTGTTTCTAGCTGCGCGTGCCCAGAGAGGAACCCAGGCCCTTGGGGGCGGGCTGTACCTGTTGGAATTGGAGCCGTTCAGCTTTGTTGCCCAGAGCTGGGCCTCTGTGCCCGTCCCACGCGGCTCAGGGGTTGAAAACCGGCTGTCTCGGGGCTGTTTCTAGCTGCGCGTGCCCAGAGAGGGACCCAGGCCCTTGGGGGCGGGCTGTACCTGTTGGAATTGGAGCCGTTCAGCTTTGTTGCCCAGAGCTGGGCCTCTGTCCTTGTTCTTTTTGATGTGTGCCAGTATATGTGGTGTAAGACAAAGTCTCATTGTTGTTTTGATTTGCATCTTCCTGATGATTAGTGATGTGGAGCATTTTTTCATATGCCTTCTGACCATTTGTATTTCTTTTTATTTTTGTGGAAGTTTCTGTTAATTTTCTCTCCCCATTTTTTATGGGGTTGGAGGTTTTTTCTACCAGTGTCTTATATATCCTGGATATTAACCCCATATCTTATGGGTATTAGGTAAATATTTTTTCCTGTTCCATGGGCTGTTTCTGTATTTTGGTCACAATTTCTTTTGAGGTGCAGAAGCTTCTTAGTTTAATATAGTCCCATTTGTTTGTTTGTTTCCACTTGCTTGGTCAGTGGTGTTTCATCCTTAAAGATGCCTTTTACTTTGATGTCATGGAGGGTTCCGCCTACATTTCTTCCCATGTACCTTATGGATTCAGGTCTAGTATTGAGGTCTTTAATATATTTTATTTGACTTTTGTGCCTGGCATCAAATAGAGGTCTGAGTTCATTTTTTTGGAAGTAGCTGTCCAGTTTTCCCAGCACCACTTGTTGAAGGGGCTTTTTTGTTCCTCTTCACATTTCTTACTCCTTTATCAACGATTGAGTGATCATATATTTGAGAATCTGTAGTAGAATACTCAACTCTATTCCATTGGTCTGTAAGTCTGTTTTTATTTCAATACCATGCTGTTTTAATTACTATACTTTGTAGTACAATTTGGAGTTGGGGAAGGTGATGCCGCCTATCTTCTTTTTCCCTAGGATTGCTTTAGCTATTTGTGGGAGTTTATTTTTCCATATTAATTTCATAAGTGTTTTGTCTAATTCTTTGAAGAATGTCATGGTATCCTTATAGAGACTGCATTAAATCTATATAGTGCTTTGAGGGCGTATTGCCATTTTGATAATTTTAATCCTATCCATGAGCAGGGGATGTGTCTCCATTTCCTAGTGTCATCTCTTATTTCTTGAAGTAGTGTTCTTTAATTTTCTTTGTATATGTCCTTCACCTATTCAGTTAAGCTGATTCCCAGGTACTTGATTTTCTGAGGCACTATTGTGCATGGGATTGGTTTTTTTAATATCTCTTTCTTATCTTTCATTATTCATATATAGGAAAGCCATGGACTTTTGGGTATTGATTTTTTAGCCTGCCACTTTACTATGCAAACCTATTGTTTCTAGGAGCATTTTTGTAGAATATTTAGGATTTTCTTAGTATCATGTCATCCACAAACAGTGATAGCTTGATCTCTTCCTTTCCTATCTGAGTACTCTTGATAAAAATGAATTATTAATGAATAACAAATACTGTAACTGTGTTCTTTCAGGAATCGGGACTCTCCAAATGGATGGCAAATCAATTATCTCCTCTAGGTTCATTACCAGGATGGCTAATAATCCTGATATCTTGTTTGCTGGTCACATCTTTAACAGAAGTAGCCAGCAATCCTGCAACAATTACCCTTCTTCTCCCAATTCTAGCCCCACTGGTGAGTCTCATTGATTCCATTTATATTTTCTTTAATAGTGACTCATTCTCAGATTGTGTTCTCATAAGTGATATATATATATTTGTATTAATGTTTTTATTGGGTAGGGAGTACTTCAATTTAGAACTTATTTTTTAATTTCTTTTTATCACTTATGTATTTTTTAATGAATCAACACAAGATATATTACAGACTTACAAACTTTTGTGATTATGTTTCAGTCATACAATGATCGAGTACCTATCCCTCCACCATCAATGTTCTCAGGATCCCTCCCGCTATTCCTACTCCATCCCTGCCCCCGTCTCTGTGGCAGGCACATTCCCTTTTACTCTCTCTTTCCCTTTTTTTTTTTGCCTTTTGGGTCACACTTGGCATTGCACAGGCGTTACTCCTGGCTCATGCACTCAGGAATTACTCCTGGTGGTGCTCGGGGGACCTCATGGGATACTGAGAATCGAATCTGGGTCGGCTACATTCAAGGAAAATGCCCTTCCCACTGTGCTATTGCTCCAGTCTCTCTCTCTTTTCTTTTGGGTGCTGTGGTCTGCAATACAGGCACTAAGCTGCCATCATATTTGGTCCATAGTTTACTTGCAGCATGAATCTCCCATCTCGTGCGAGCCCTACAAGCATCATTTACTTAGTGGTCCCTTCTCTATCCCAACTGCCTTTTCCTCCACCGTGTGAGGCTGGCTTCCAAGCCATGGAGTGATCCTCCTGGCCCTTACCTCTACTATCCTAGAACTTTTTCTTCCATGCGCAAGTATAATATTTTTTGTATGTGGGGTGGAGGTGAAGTATAGGCTTCCCAACTGTTCTCAGGGGTCCCTGAAGTTACTCCTGGTCAGATTTAGTCAACCAGGTTGAATGATTTGATGTTCAGGCCCAGGAATGATGTATTGCTGTAGCCAGTAATATTGGAAGTCCCCAGGTCAATCCTGGTGCTGCTTTGTGTATACCAGGGACTCATAGAGATCTGGGGGTGGGGGATGAGGAGGGGAGCCAGTGTCAAAGTTGTAAGGGGGTAAGATATGTGGCATTGGAGTTCAAACTCCGGCCCTTGTGCATGTAAGGCATGTGTTTCTGACCACTGAGTGATCTCCCTGACCTTAAGCAGCATAATATTAAGTGATCATCTTACCTTTATTCTGCCCATAGCTTTCATTCAGAGATAAATAGAGGAACAGCCTAGATCTTTTCCAATCTTAAAACTTTGGGATTCATAGTTAGCAATGTTAGTATTTAGATCTCCATTACTGACTTTGATGCTTGATACTCCAGATTATTCTTGAATTTCTGAAAAGTGCTTCCTATCTGTGATCTATAGGTAAATGAAAAATCTATGTTTATACTTTAGACAGCAGCTTAAGCATTTTGATCTTGGTTTTCTACTGCCTAGAGAAGAATTATAAAGAGATAACTAAAGGATCAGTAAAGGGCAGGACATTTGCCTTGCACATGACCAAGCCTGGTTTGATCCCTGGCACCCCAGATGGTCCTCTCAGTCCACCGAGGAGTCAGGAGGAAGAATTGCTGGGTATCACTGTAATCCTGTTGTTCATCGATTTTCTCGAGCAGGCACCAGTAACATCTCCTTCATCCTAGCTGTGAGTTTTTAGAAAGTGCCACATTTGAGGCTCTTTCAGGGTCAGGGGAATGAGACCCATCATTGTTACTGGTTTTTGGCATATTGAATACGCCACGGGGAGTTTGCCAGACTCTGCCATGTGGGCAGGATAATTTTGGTAGCCTTCCAGGTCTCTCATATGGTCCTCTCAGTCCACCGAGGAGCCAGGAGGAAGCATTGCTGGTGTGTTCCCCCCCAAAAAACCCACCCCCCCAATAAACCCCAATAAATAGATTACTAAAAAGCACATTTGCGAAGTCAAAGAAAAAGTCTGTCACTGATTCATTCTTCTCCCTTCTCACTTTGTAATTCATTATAAGTAACAACTTTAAGTTGTTATTTATAACATCTTAAAGTAAAAAAAATTCTGGGCCAAATGACTCTGATGAGAGGAAAGCACTTTAAATTAAGAAAGATTGTCCTTCTGGAATTTTCTGCTACAAGCTCAACAGGCGTACTTTGATATTCTTGTTCAAATCAGAATGGAAATATAAAGAGTTTATATTAGTAAACCATCATTCTGAGGTTTTTCCTGATTTTTATTTGGGAGGGAGGTCATGCCTGTAAGTGCTCATGGGTTACTCCTGAATCTGCATGCAGGAATTACTCCTGGATATGCACTCAGGAATTACTCCTGGCATTGCTCAGGGGACCATATGGAATGCTGGGGATCGAACCTGGGTCAGCTGTATACAAGGCAAACACCCTACCCACTGTACTATCTCTCTAGCACTTTCACCTGATTTTTATTCCTCAACATGGAACAGTTAAAAAAATTCTGTGATGATTTTAAAATATTAATAAGTTTTCTATAGGAATATATTTAAGCAACTTTTTAATTACACATACACAGTGCTAGTAAAGTTAATGGTATGATGAGAAACTTTAGAACTGGGAAGAATGTGAAATCCTCCCTGCATTCCACTGCTTGCATGCTGTGTTTATGGACATGTTACTTTAATCTCAGTTTCTTCATCTGTTACTTGGACTGATGGTAATCATGTGATAAGATCATGTCATAAGATCATTGTGAAAAGGTCAAAATTATATGTAGCATATTAAAATTTGCATGTAGACTATATTATATATGTGTTACACAGACATACATATACCCATTCATATATGTGTATTTATATACATATAAAACATACTATAGAACCTAATACTAAATTTAAAATAATTGTTTTTATTTAGCTTCTGGAATAAATGACTATTCTCTAACTTAACTGAATAGTAAACAATTAGCTATAACTATATAACATACAACAACAAAAAGATATCTCTGAAAAATATTCACGTTAGAGTTTATGTGTCTATAATTTTACTGATTTACATTTAAATCTACTTCTCGAAAGGTTTAATTTAGTGATTTCACTCATTTTGAGGTGTGGTGACTATATCAAAGTTTTACTTAGACTTTTTTTAAATCTTTTCCAACAGGCTGAAGCTATTCAAATGAATCCTCTGTATATTTTAATACCTTCTACTCTCTGTACTTCATTTTCATTCCTTTTACCAGTGTCAAATCCACCCAATGCAATTGTGTTTTCTTATGGCCATCTAAAAGTTATTGACATGGTAAGTTGTCTGAAAGAATGCTACCAGGTTCAATATTCACTTTTTTGTGATGTCTTGGGTTATATTTCCTTTTACAAACTAATTGCCAGAAAAAGGTAAATTGATTTCTGCTCTTGATGGTGATTACATGAATAGTCAGAGAATTGTTTTTAAGTGATGGCATAAGGCAAACGTTTCATTAGAATTTAAAGTCACAAATACAAAGCTATTTAATGCATTGGTAATGTTACAATTAGAACTTGCTCAACATAATGAATAGAACTTAGATATTCCAGGTGCAAATCTAAATTTACTTAGGCAAAAAGAAAAAAATGTGCAAATGAAATACAGTGATCAAAACAGTACTGTAGGTTTCTTGCAGGATTTACTTGCAATTGAAATTTGTTTTAAATAATATATTGGCCTGAGTCTGTCACAGTCCCTGTCACTGTCCTCCCATTGTACATCGATTTGCTTGAGTGGGCACCAGTAATGTCTCCATTGTGAGACTTGTTACTGTTTTGGGCATATCAGATACACCATGAGTAGCTTGCCAGGCATTGTCATGTGAGCGGGATACTCTTGGAAGCTCTCTGAGAGGGGTAGAAGAATCGAACCAGGGTCAGCCTCATGCAAGGCATTCCTACATACTGTGCTATCACTCCAGCCCGATAACTTAAGTCTAACTGATGAAAAGTCATCTTTTATTCTACTATTGGCACTTGACTTGAAAGTACAAGGAAATGATAGTGAACATTTCATGTGATAAAATATGCTTATTTTTGTCAAATTTGAAAGTTCAGAACTTGTTTGAAAATATAGTTTTCCCCATTCTTGATCTTCAACTTGATCTTCAACTTCCAAACCAAACCTAACTAGTATATAACCAAACTAGTTATATAACCAAACTAGTATATAACCAAAGTAAAATCAGTGAACTTGCTAAGAAAATGGTTTTAGTAAGTTCCAGACATTTTTTTTTACACACATTGCTGTCCCTATTCCCTATAATAGAAGAATTGTTGGAAATGTCTTCATGAGGAAGTTATTTAACGTAAATTTAGCTAAAAAAAGAAAAAGATCTAAGATTAGACATTTGGGGCCTGAGCAATAATGTACAGTGAGGGCATTTGCTTAGCAAGCAGCCAACCAGGGTTTGATTCCCCACAACCCATCTGTTCCCCCGAGTACCACAGGCATGCAACGCCAGGAGTAAGTCTTGAGTACCATCAAGGATGGCCACCAAACCAAAAATAAATAAATGAATGAATTAATTAAGATAAGCAATGTTTTTTTTTGTATGAATCAAAATACAATCCTTCCCAACATAGGATATTGAATAAATAAGTGAATTGAATGCACAGAAAAGGTAAGCACTATAGCAGTTATCACAAGGTATCCCTTTTTGTCTTTTTTCAGGGTGGACACACCCAGAAGTGCTCAGGACTTGCTCCTGGCTTACCACTCAGGAATCACTCCTGGCAGGCTCAGGGGACCACTTAGGATTTCTGGGATCAAGTGTGGTCAGCTGTGTGCAAGGCAAACACTCCACCTCCTATACTATCACTCCAGTGCCAGTCCACGCCATCCTCTTTTTGTCTTATTACAAAAAATGAAGAGATCAATAAGCATGCTCTATAAATAGCTATTGGCGAATATTTGAGGTTCTGAGAGCCATATAGTCCTTCTCACAAGCTACTCAACTCTGTGATTGTACCATGAAGACAGCCAACAACAAAATGTAAGCAAACAGGCAAGGCTGTGGTCTCATGAAACTTTATTTTAAATCACATCTCAAGCAAATATTTGTCAACCTCTATTTTAGTGAAAGAATGAAATTTTGAGATTTTTTACTGGATGGGCTGGAGAGATAGCACAGCGGGTAGGGCGTTTGCCTTGCACGTGGTCGACCTGGGTTTGATTCCTCCACCCCCTCGGAGAGCCCTGCAAGCTACCGAGAGTATCTCGCACGCACCACAAAGCCTGGCAAACTACCTGTGATGTATTTGATATGCTAAAAACAGTAACAACAGGTCTCACAATTTGTTGTGATACGTTATTGGTGCCTGCTTGAACAAATCAATGAACAATGGGAGTACAGTGCTACAGTGCTTTAATGGATACCAGAATCACGGTTTAGTCACTATGAAAATGGGAACTCTGAGAGGCTGGAGAGATAGCACAGAGGGTAGGGCGTTTGCCTTGCACTGGCTGACCCGGGTTCGATTCCCAGCATCCCACATGGTTCCCTGAGCACCACCAGGATTAATTCCTGAGTGCAGAGCCAGGAGTAACCTTTGTGCATCACCAGGTGTGACCCAAAAAGCAAAGAAAAGAAAAAAAAGGGAACTCTGAGAATAATGAGAACTCTAAGTGGCATTATTAAATTTAAATACAAAACTACTGAAGAAAAGTTACTAAAATATTAAGTTAATAGAATGGAGACTATACTTGTCATATCATGAACCATGGCTATCAAAATAGACAACCACAAAACTCAACTTTTGACTTAAAATGAAAAGCCATTTTTTAAAGTAGATTTTTCTCTTTTGGGATGACTTCAGCATATTACTCAGAGGAACCCCTCTGAAAAACTCCAACTAAGTAATCCTTGCCCAAGGACAGATTCTCTGTTTAATATTAATAGAAATACTTTTTTTTTAATCCAACAACATAGACTAATTGTTTAGCAGGCATATACATCTGATACATGCATTTTGAAACAATATTCTAGTTCTCCTTTAGGTTTTGGATATTTATTTTAACTGACATCTATTCTTTTTATTGTTCAAGGTTAAAGCTGGAATTGGTGTAAATATTATAGGTGTTGCTGTCGTCATGCTTGGCATGTTCACCTGGATTTCACCCATGTTTGACCTCCACACTTACCCTTCTTGGGCTCCTATAATTAGCAATGAAACTATGCCTTGAGAAGTGGAAATGTTCTGACTAACCTGTAGGGAGTTCTTGGGGCCATTGAGAATTCATTGCAAAATTTGACTCTGGCAAACTGATGACACATTTAAATCAGATGATACAACTGATGCATTTCCAGAGAATAACTAAAATCTGCCATCAGAGCTGAATCTTTGTATCCTTTAAGACACATAGAGTATCTACCTGCCTTCAACAACATGTCCACAGGAAATTGAACTATATTTATCCTGCATCATCATGGAATACTTATAACATGATCTCCAGAGATATTTAGTCATTTTGTTCATGTTATAGTTAAGATTTCATGTCACGTTTCAAATGAATAAATGATCATTTCAGAAACTTCCTGTGAAGCTAGACATGGGGTGGAGGGTTTTTTGGAGAAGAAATCTAGTATGTGCATAAATAATTTATTTGGGTGTAAAGGAATTTTCTAAAACTTTAAAGCTGTAGTCATCTGATGTTGCAAAAGAAAAGGTTAACCTAAAAGAAAAACCTATCAACCACATCCCATAGCCAACACCATGTAAATTCATTCTTTTACCCAGATTTATACATTTATAACCAAATCTTGGAAGAGAAGCAAGTCAACCCGCTAAAATTCATGGGAACACCAGTATCCCAGCTGAGTAATCTAGGGCAGTGGGGGGAGGGGCGGAGGTGAAGAGTGGTGAGTCCCTGCCCTGCTAAAGTCCAAGCAGGTACATCCAAACACTATTGCTGCCACCATGTCAATGGCCCAGCTCCATTTTTTTATGACTTACTTTCTATAGACACCAAGTAACAAAAATTCCATATACAATCGTTTTTCAGGCTGAGAACTCTGTTGTTCTTGGTGTGGAGGAAGAAACTCCCAACCCCCTCCCATCCCCCACCCCTACCTCCCCAACTCCATAATTCCAGAAAGCCCAGGAAACACACCCACATCCCACAGCCATTGCCATGTAAACTCATTGGTCCAGTTTTACAGATCCCAGTAGGAATACACCAAATTCAATAAAAAAGTGACATAGAAGCCAATTAATTTCAATAAACAAAACAATAACACAGAAGGCTCAACTAGCAACAAACAGTTTAGGACTTACTGACCCCTTGGCGAGATGTAACAATTTTCTCAATTCTTGTTTATTAAAGATTTTTTTGGATAATTGTAACAAACATTATAGGATTGTGCCTGCTACAGGGACTGGCCTGGAGGATGATTGGTAAAATGGGGACAATGATGGAGGAAAGGTTACTCTGGTAGTGAATTGGTGTTGGAACATTAAATACTTGGAACAACTGTATCATGAACAACACTTAAAACATGGTGTTTAAAGTAAAAAAAATTAATTCTATCTGATTATTTTGATGCATATATATATATATAGTACAAAAATTAAAATTAAACTAATAAGTAAAGTAAAGGCCCTCCTGTTGATCATCGATTTGCTCGAGCGGGCCCAGTAACGTCTCCATTGGAGACTTTGTTGTTACTGTGTTTGGCATATCGAATACGTCACGGGGAGCTTGCCAGGCTCTGCCGTGCAGCCGAGATACTCTCGGTAGCTTGCCGGGCTCTCCGAGAGGGGCGGAGGAATCGAACTCTGGTCGGCCATGTTGACTGCATGCAAGGGAAATGCCCTACCGCTGTGCTATAGTTGAGTTCACCAAAGAATAAATGAGCATTAATTTCTAATGAATCCAATGGTCAGATTAATACTATTTGTAGATTTATGGACCTGAATACACTAAGAAATGCATTTGTCAGAGCTATAGAAAAAACGTCTATGATTCTCATTAACAGAGAATAGTTAGGACAGAAACCTAAACACTGTATAAAATGGATATGAATTATGCACATGGATAGCAATTTTGATCATTTTATTTTATAAATACTACCATCTACAAAAAGAGGAGATGAAAATGTTTCATGAATAATAACTGTGCATAGAGGCATAAAATTTAAAAAATGAGCAAAAAAATGATTTGATCATTCAAAGAAAAGTAAGATGAGAATAACCTCCCTGCATTTAAGAAGTGAAGTTTATTGCCATTTGAAAATTAGGCTAAAGAAGGAAAAGTGACAATCAAAGGCAAAAAACATTCATGGAAAGAATGGAAATTTAAAACAGTAATTCTCAGTCTGAAATTAGAGAAAGTCAAGATTTTAATAACTTTCTTTCTGCTGGGAGACTACACTGTAAAATAGAAAAGTGAATGAAATAGTGGTAGCCAACAGACCAGATAGCAAAAATTGGCAGTATCAAGAAACTATCAAGAAAGAAGTACTACTTAAAAAGAATTTAAAACTTTCCAGAGTAATTAACATGTAAAATCATGTAACAAAGGATTTTCTTTATTTGGAATTTTTTTTACAGAAGTCATCAAACCTAATTTTTTTTACAGAAGTCATCAAACCTAAATTTTTGGTGGATTATTTTGCTTTGTTTTTATTCAAGGACTCTATAAAGTTATCTTTGAAAATTAACTATAACACAAAGATAAATTGGTAAAAATAATCTCTTAAAATTTTTATCTACTAAGGTCATTGTCCATTATTTTTCAGGTTACTAGTCAAGGATAAGTTAATCTTTTAAAATACAAATGCATTCATTTAATTTTTAAAATATATCAATGTATTTATCTTCTATGTGTATTTCTTTTTTGCTCACTCCACTCACTTTCTTTTCATATCATATGTGACATATTTATTTATGATTCATGGTATTTATTTTATTTTAGCTTTATTTCCAGTCATTCAATTTACCACTGCTGACTTATATGGTAAATACATTTTCATTATAAAAAATAAAATGAGTTTTCAAATTATAATGAAAAAAGTTTTGCTCTCAAGAAATTACCATAAATATTTCAACTTGAATCATTTTAATGAATTATTTTTAAGATCTTCCATATGAGTAGAGGAAAAATAATACTTAGTCAAAATTTGTTTCAGTAAGCCAGGTAGTTCTCTTGTCACATCTTTAGGTTTATTTGATAGACCAAATGACTTAACTAGTCTATTTCACATTTGTTTTATTTAGATCAAAATACTCAAGCTCCTTTAGGTAAAGTGCTGCATTGCATGCTTTAAAAGTTTCTACTTACTTACTTCTACAAGACAACCTAAACAAATTATAAAGCGAATCTTTGTCTTTCCACTCTTGGATTTATAATGATTTTATTATTTATTTAATGATCTTGATCCTTACTTATAGGTTAATTTAAAATCTTTGTAACTTTAAATCAATGTCAGTTTAGGATTGGGTCTTGTCTAGATAAGAGTAGCAATTTCATTAAGTGCATATTTCTCGCTGTTCATGCAAGTGCTTGGAGGGTTCAACTGATGTGTGTCCTTCACTCATCACCAAAGACTCTGCTCATGTCAGAACTTCTAGAACTAAGAATTACTTCCCTATACACTGTTTTCACCATAATTCATTTCCAAAGATTTGCTCTTTGCTTGTTAACCTGGGAGGTAGGAAAGTATACTTTTAGGCAATATTACTAACAAAATATATTAGCAAAAATTGGTAAAAAAATTATGATATACTAGTTAAGCCTTGACACGTTGTCTGTCCAGTCTTTTCTGAAATGCAAAAGGCTGTTAATAGGTATGCTATTATTGGCGTGGCTAACATTTCATTAAAAATATCTTTATGCTAATAATTCTGCTTCAAAGTGTTACTGGTTTAGTTAGTAAATACTATCTTTGCTTGACTATATGAATCTTGCCAAAGTAAATATTTTTACTTTTAGCCAGAGAAAGATTGTACAACCAATGAAAGAATAAATCTAAACTGCATCAGTTTTATGGTGCTAACAATATAAAATGGAAAAGAGTTAAAAATGTAATTCCAATACAATACTAGCCGTATGATTTTCAAATGAGACATCTTTATCATCTTTTACTCGGATTTTAGAAGGAAATATTTTTTTTAATTAATTAATTTATTTATTGAATCACTGTGGGAAAGGTTACAAAGCTTTCAGGTTTAGGTCTCAGTCATGCAAATATCAAACACATTTCCCTTTACCAATACTTATTTTTTACCATGAAGAACCCCAATAGAAACCCACCCCCTACCCCTCCCAGTCCCTGTGAGGCAGATGAATTCTAGTTAACACTCTATCTGCTTTGATTAGATTCACTGTTTCAATAAAAGATTCACCACTATTATTTAGAGTTTACCCCCCCAAAATCAGACATGCTGAAAAAGCATTGTGAAGTGATTTGCTTTCTACAGCTGGGTTCAAGAATTAAATGTTGGTTTTGGATTTAGGCTATTTTACCTATTGACCCTGGAAGTATTTCTACTGAAAGTCAGATAGTTAAGAAATTGGTTTCTGTGTTCTGGAGTCGTGGCCATGCTGGAGAGCCGCTCGTGGGGGGCAACTGTTGGCCTCGGTAGGGCGTGAAGGGCAGACTGAAACGCCCCCCTTCCCATGAGGTTTTAGTCGCCCCCACACCCTCAGCTCATACCTGCTGTCCAGAAGGCTCCCATGCGGCCGCCATCTTTCTTTCCAGAGAGGAGAGGGCGAATGGGACAACACCCTTTCCCCTCCGGACAGACATGATGGCCTGGATTAACGCATAGTCCGTTCACTTTTCTGCTCCAAGCTGCCGGATTCTGCATTAAGTCCTTGTGCTTCTGGGGCCGTGGCTGTGCTGGAGAGCCGCTTGCGGGGGGCAACTGGTGACCTCGGTAGGGCATGAAGGACGGACCGGAACACCCCCCCTTCCCATGAGGTTTTAGTCGCCCCCACACACCCGGCTCATACTTGCTGTCCACAAGGCTCCCATGTGGCCGCCATATTTCTTTCCAGAGGGAGGAGGGCGGAAGGGAGCAACACCCTTTCCCCTCCGGGCAGACATGATGGCCTGGATTAACGCATAGTCCTTTCACTTTTCTGCTCCAAGCTGCTGGGTTCTGCATTAAGTCCTTGTGCTTCTGGGGCTGTGGCCGTGCTGGAGAGCCGCTCGTGGGGGGCAACTGGTGGCCTCGGTAGGG